CTTTGTAATTGCAGATTCAATTTCCTTTTTGTGGTCCCATCCATGATCAGTTACAGCTTTAAAGACTTCAATTACGAGGTTGGGGAATTCTTCCAAGAATGCAAAGTCCTGAAGCACGAGTTGCTGGACATCAGCTGATCGAGACGCATCAGAGACGTGCTGGACGGCGTTTCTCATAAAACGCACCAGCTCAACCACCGATCTGGTATCGTAAGTTCGACGTTTGTATTTACTGGTCATTTCAGCGTGGATTTTTGACATTTTGACATACAGTGGGTCGTTCCAGTCACGGCATTTGGCGACAATAGTCGAAAATTGTGTTTCTAGATGCCGCTCAAACCAAGTTAAAGAGATCCGTTTAGAACGAGGACATTCAAACTCTGGTTGATTTCCAACAGCGACGAGAAAATCCATCTTCTTCGTTTTTGACCAGAACATTGGATGAGCTAACGCCTTAGGTGCAGTAGGCCTCTTCTTATGATTGCTTCCTAACATCTCTTTGAGGAGGTGAGTCACTTCAGGTGGCAACGATTGATCCCACCCTTCCATGTTGTCTTTTAGTATGTTACCTTCTGTGTGGTGAATCTCGCGGAGATTCTCAAGTGCGCTTTCAGCTGGAGCAAATGGATGCTTTTGAAGTGTCAAAATATAGTGCAAAACAAGTCCGCATGAGAAGATGTCCGAAGAATTGGATGGACTATGACCTTCCATTACTTCTGGCGACATCCAACATCGAGTGCCGGCGTTAGTCCAAACTGTTGTAGCTGTATTGGTCATACAACGACTAAGACCAAAGTCAGCTATTTTCAAGCAATCTTTGGTTTCGTAAAGAATATTGCTTGGTTTGAGGTCACGATGCAAGATGCCTCCATCATGTAAATACTTTACCCCTAACAAAACCTGCTTGCAAAGTTTAATTCTTTCACCCATGTTGAATGACTTATCTTGAAGAAAATCTGCATCTTCTAAACTTCCTTCCAAAAGCTCCAGAACTATATAGACGAAATTCTTGTCCTCAAAAAAAGAAAGATAACGGACAACATGTTGACAATTTGTCAAAGAAATGAGATTGTCGATCTCTCGTTTATCTTTAGGACGCGTCATCCGCGATCTATCGATTCTTTTGATGGCAACTTCACGTCCGTCATTTGTATTGATTCCTGCATAAACAACTCCAAATGAGCCGAGTGCGATTTCTTCCTGGTGATACCAATAGTCTTTGATTACTTCACATTCTTGGCGTCTAGCCGTTTTGTCCAGTTTGTCGCGATGTTTTTCCGTCAACCGCCTCCATTGAATGGCTATCGGTATTTCTATAAAGTCTATGGGTTGAGAAATTAGATATTTAAGGTCTGGGCAAGACTCTGCGATGTCAAGGCATGATACTCCAGCAGAATTAGATGTACTGTAATCGGCTCCATACAAATGGAGGCGTTGTGCAATTTTCCAGAAAACAGATTTGGCAAAGTTCTCCTTCCTTACTGATCTCTCAGAGTTTTTCCGAATGTGTTCTTCTAGATTCCTACAGCAATGTATCAGAGCTACATTCAAATCAAGCTTATCGTTGTTAACCTTCAACAGCATTTCGACAAAATTTTCTTTCCATAGGTTATTAGAACTCCTATCCTTGCAAATAGCATTCAAAAGTGTGACTACATCCTTTAAACTCTTGCAATAGCTGTTTTCGCAGGCCACTTGAACCAATGCCTCCGATAATTTGAAACCTTTATCTGAACTCAGCAAAAAGCTCAGCACTGATTCACCGTCCTTGTCACATGCCCATGGATTAAGACCTTTGTCGATAGCTTTCTTCCAAAATACTTCAGGATCATCTGTGCAATCATTAAAAAATCTTTCCCGGTAATAATCTTGTTTGTACCTGACGGCAGCAGCGAGTAAAGGTGTACGTCCAGATGAATCCACATCGTTGACATTAGCGCCAGCATCAATCAAAAGCTTCACTGCACACCAAGTTTGGCACAAGTGCAAAGGTGTTTCATCATTTTCGTTCCTGGCGTTGACTTTAGCGCCGTACTTTAGGAGATACTCCAGGAGCATACTCATTAGTTCTTCAAATGTTTCATTTTCTAATTCTTCATTCTTGTGGGTAAAAGTTGCCCATATATGTAGCGGTGTCTCGAGTTTGTCGTTCGGTCTTCTGGCTGCTTTTTTTTGCCTTCTGTCATCTGTCTCCTGAAGCAGGTGCAGTAATTGAGATTCCTCTTGATAAGGCATCTTTTCGGCGAGAGAGTACTGGCGAGCAAACAGCATTCGGAAAATCCTCGTGATGTAGTGAAAAAAAGAATCACCTTGGCTTGATACTTGATTAAGCGATGAGTCATCTTTGAGGAAAAACTTACAAGTGCAGACAATCCACTGTGCTTTTTCCCACCTGCGATACATCTCAAGACACTTTGACAAGAAAAACAACAAGGGCGTTTGTTTGTCGTGGTTAACTGCATTCAATCTTGCACCGGACTTTTCAAGTAATTTCCATACTTCAAGTACTGTTTCCTGAGGCACACTATACAGTGATAGACATGCAGCATAATGAAGTCTTGTGTTGCCATGCAAGTCGGCGATGTTTGGGTCCACGCCTAGCTTAACGAGCAGCGACACGATATCAACAAGAGGTGCCCTATTCCTTAGATTAGAGATTTTCGTCAAAAGTAGCCTAATAGCTTCTTTCCTTTTACGATCCTGTTTAATCTGGTACTGGGCTGCAAAATGTGTAAGATTCACGAGCTGCGAAACTTTAAATTCTGAAACATCTCTAGACTCACTGTAAGTTGACTTCTGTCTGTATAGAACATGATGGAGTAATGTGTCTAGTATTGACATCACCATAATTGTTCTTGGAACTCCATATTCTTCGAACACACGAAATAATTCACGCAATTTAGGTGCCTCTTTTGTGTGATTTTCAATTAAATGCTCGACGAAGTATGAAAGAACATTATAAGTCTGAATGTCCTTTGCATTTACATTTGCTCTACTGGAGAGAAGCAAACGAGTCATGGAAATCGATGTTGTAGAAGCGTAGAATAATGGTGTTCTTCCCAAATCATCTCTTGTGTCTATTAAGGCACCTTGGTCAATCAGGTGTTGTGTGATTTCCAAAAGGTTATTCTTAACAGCATGAAACATCAATATTTCCTTCTGATTCAGAACATTGACATCGCTTCCAGCTGAAATTAGTAATTTACAAAGTTGCTCTTTACCCAACATAATCGCATAACCCAGAGCTGTTTGTCCTTTGTTGTCAGTTAAGTTGACATCACTATCCTTTTCAATAAGGAAATCTGTTAACTCTAGATTACCACATTTTACGGCATGAAATAAAGGTGTCTGGCCTTCATTGTCTTGAACATTCACAACAACACCAGCATCAATTAACAACTGTACCAGCTTTACTTTGCCGAAATGGAAGAGGTTATTCTTAACAGCATGAAACATCAATATTTCCTTCTGATTCAGAACATTGACATCGCTTCCAGCTGAAATTAGTAATTTACAAAGTTGCTCTTTACCCAACATTATCGCATAACCCAGAGCTGTTTGTCCTTTGTTGTCAATCAAGTTGATATCACTATCCTTTTCAATTAGGAGTTGTGTTAACTCTAGATTACCACATTTTACGGCATGAAATAATGCCGTCTGGCCTTCATTGTCTTGAACATTCACAACAACACCAGCATCAATTAACAACTGTACCAGCTTTACTTTGCCGAAATGGACAGCAAGAAGTAGTGGTGTTTGTCCTTTATAGTCCGTTAAGTTGATATCACTATCCTTTTCAATAAGTAGTTCTGTTAACTTTACATTACCAGATTTTACGGCATGAAATAATGCTGTCTGGCCGTTGTTGTCTTTAATATTAACATCAGCACTAGCACCAATGATTTCAAATGCAGTTTCTTGCTCCTGGTAATACATGTATGATTGGTTCGCTGCTGCATGAATTAATGCAGTTCGACCATTGTTGTCTGCAATATCAAGATCAGCACCGGCTGCAATGATAATACTAGCGATTTCTTTGTATCGACGATGAACAGCATGGATCAATGCTGTCCAGCCATCCTTATCGGTGATGTTAACATCGCAACCTTTGGCAATCAGTGCTCGAACTAGCTCGACTTTTCGATTATTTACGGCATGAAAAAGAGCTGTTTGTCTACATTTGTCAGCAATATTCACATCAGCTCCAGAATTAATAATTGCGAGTGGAATTTCTTTACCGTATTGAATTGCATGCATTAAAATAGTTTGGCCATTTTTGTCATTAGCATTGATATCACTACCTCTTCTGATTAACGCGTTAACTACCTGCATCATATCAGATGTGTCTCTTTCCACTGCATATGCTATTGGTGCCTTCCCTTCGCGGTCCACTGCATTGACATTAGCTCCAGCATTGATAAGCTCTAATGCAATTTCATTGCTGTAACGTCGACTAATAGCTGTAATCAAAACAGTTTCGCCATATTTATCAGACACGTTGACATCACATCTCTTTTCAATTAGTGCACGTGTTAACTTTATTTTCCGTGAGTGGACGGCATGGACTAGTGGTGTCTGCCCTTCGTCATCAATTGCATTGACATCTCCACCACCAGCAACAATACGACATGCAATCTCTTCATCATATTGCCTAGCTGCAGCAATAAGCGCTGTTTCTCCTTGTTTGTCAACTTGATTGACAGTCTGTGCGTCAATCAATTTACTAATGCAATGCATCTTAAATGCAAAGAATAAAGGCGTGCGACCGTCATTGTCAATAACGTTGATATCAGCTCCAGCCTTTAAAATATGATGCGTCATGAATTCGTTGCCATGTTGTAGAGCATAAAATAATGCTGTTTTGCCTTCTTTGTCTCGTTGATYGACAGTGGTGGCGTCAATAAGCCGAGAACAGTGGTACCTTTGTCTGCAGGCATAGAATAGTGGCGTCTGTTTTTCATTGTTTATTATATTGATATCGGCTCCAGCATCGATTACAGCCTCTGCAATTTTGCCTTTTTTGAGTTGTACTGCATAAAACAAAGCAGTATTGCCATGACCATCAGCAATATTAACATCCGCTCCAGCACCAATCAGTAATCGCGAAACACTGAATTTTCCGAGATCAACTGCATAAATAAGAGCTGTTTTGCCTTTATTGTCAATAGTGTTGACATCAGTACCAGCCTTAATCAATACATCGACAACTTCATCATTTCCAGAAATGACAACACAATGAAGAGCAGTCCGGCCTTCTTTATCAGTAATGTTGGCATCAGCTCCAAGGTCAAGCAGGCTTTGTATGATAGCTAGTTTTCTTTTCTTTCCTTTCTTTTTTTTCTCCAGCCCTTCAACTGCATAAAATAGCGCTGTTTTGCCTTCATTATCAGCAATGTTAACATTGATACCAGCTTCCATCAATACATTTGCAACTTTGTCCTTTCCATGATGAATTGAATATACAAGAGCAGACTTTCCCTTATTGTCCACAATGTCAACTTCAGCACCCTCACCTATCAATACAGAAACAAGATCATACTTACTACTATGGGTCACAATGTGAAACAAAGCAGTTTTTCCTTCTACATCCTTTATGTTTACATTAACTCCACCTTTAATCAATGTCTGTGTCAATTGCAGATCTTTCTCTTTCTTTCTAACAACTGCATAAAACAGTGCTGTCTTGTGTTGGTTATCAGTAATATTTACATCAGCATTAGCCAAAATCAATTCATGTGTCATTTCTGTATTTCCCTTTTCAACAGCATAAAATAGAGCTGTCTTTCCTTCTTTATCAACTATGTTTACTTGAGCTTTTGCAGTAATCAATGCCTTTGCTATATCCAGTTTTTTCCTCTGAAAGCTCAATGTGCCTGTTTTTTCAGCATCTTTTATCTTCTTAATGTCAAAACGTGCTGCAAAGAACAGTGCACTCTGTCCGTTATTGTCAGTAATATTCACATCAGCATGAGCATTAATCAATGCTTGTGCAATCTCTTCATTACAATACTCAACAGCATAAATCAAAGCTGTTTTACCATGGCAATCTTTTTTGTTTACATCTGCATGAGCACAGATCAGTGCATGCACAATTTCACCATTGTTATATTTGACAGGAGTGATCAATCCATCTTTCAGAGTACTACCATCAGCACCAGCTGCAGTTAGTTTAAGAACTGTTGATGTTTTCTTAAGTTGAACAGCATGAAATAATGCAGTTTCACCTTTACTATTAATAACATTAACATTGATATTTGAGTCTATCAATAACTGAAATGTCTTTTCACTGCCATGTTTGACAGCATTAAACAAGACTGATTGACCACAGTTGTCCAGCACATTTACATCTACTCCTGCATTAATTAATGCTTTAGTGATCTTGTGCTTGCTATGTTGAACAGCTTTGAATAACACAGTTTGGTTTTCATTGTTTACTATAGTGACATCAGCACCAGCATGAAGTAAAGTGTCTATCATTTTTCTTTTATGCACAGCAGCATAAAATAAAGCTGTTTCCCCATTGTTGTCAGTAATATTGATATCCACATTACATTCAATCAATAAAGAGGCAATTTTCTCTTTTCCACGTTCAATGGCATGCATCAGGACCGTTTTACCTTTGAGATCAGTTATGTCTACATCAATTCCAAATTTAATCAAAGCATGCACTATTTCTTTCTTTCGTGAGATGGCATAAAATAAAGCCGTTCTGCCTTTACAATCAGTTATATTGACATCAACACCAGAGGTTAGTAACACTTGAACCATTTCCTTTTTACCATACTGTACAGCATAAAACAGAGCTGTTTTACCTTTCTTATCTGTTACGTTTTTATCAAGGCTGGCTCCAGTTTCATTGCCAAGCAATCTTGAAGCAAGTTCCACATGGCCTAATTTCACTGCTAAGAACAGAACTGTTTGTCCCTGAATACATTCTCTAATAGAATAACTTTCCATTATTTGATGGTTTACACTAGACCCAGATTGAATTAATAGCATTGTCAACAGCATATTGTCATTTTGTACAGCATAAAACAATGCAGTTTTGCCAAATGAATCAACTTTGTTTACATCTGCCCCAGCCTGGATCAAAAACTTTGTCAAAACCTCTTTATTTTGCTTAATAGCATAAAACAAGGCAGTCTTGTCATATTTGTCAGCTTTGTTTATGTTTGTTCCAGCCTGGATCAACACCTCTGTTAAAACCACATTATTTTGTTTCACAGCATAGAACAATGCATTCTTATCTTTTTTATCAGTGTGGTTGACGTCTGCACCAGATCTTATCAATAGGTTGACAATTTCTGAATTCTCTGTTTCCACAGCATGAATCAAAGCAGATTTGCCATCACAATCGCCATCACAATAACTATGGTCATCCACTTTGTTAACATCTGCATTAGAACTTAACAATAGATTGATTATGACTTTGTTTTCATTTTTCACAGCATATATCAAAGTAGTTTTACCAAATCTATCTGTCTTGTTAATTTCAGCACCTGAACCACTTTGCACAGGTAGCAAACCAGTCTCACGTTCATAATTACCATCAGAATCAGAGTTGTCTTCATTGCTACCATCAGAATCAATTGCAGCTTGAATCAATAACCTCGTCAGAACCTCATTATTTTGCTGAACAGCATAGAACAATGCAGTACTTTTGTTGACATCAGCTCCAGAATGAATCAATAACCTCGTCAGAACCTCATTATTTTGCTGAACAGCATAGAACAATGCAGTTTTGCCATTTTTATCACTTTTGTTGACATCAGCTCCAGAATGAATTAATAAATTCACAATTTCCTCATTTCCACTTTGGACAGCATGTATCAAGGGTGGTTTTCTATCTTCCTTGTCATAATAACGAAAATAATCCTGCCCAGGCGTATCTAAATTAGCGCGATACTTTATCAACAAAGTTATGATGTCTACATCTTGATTTTGAACAGCATAAATTAAAGCTGTCTTGTGATCATTGTCAACAAGGTCGATAATAACATCTCCAGCAGCAAGTAAAGCATGTACTTTCTCTTTATCTCCTTGTTTCACAGCAAAAAGAAATTCTGTCGTTGGCATAACTTACAGCAAAAGCTTATGAATTATCATAAAAGATTTTTTTAAAACCTTACTTAGTAGTTGTTCAGGCGGAAAGAGAAGCTAAAAAGTAAAAGTCGTATTGACACACAAATAGACAGCTTTCATCATATAGTTGTCGATTGAATGCAGATTGAAACTTCAATAATGCAGTTCCTAGCTAAAGCAAATCAATAAACGCCAACCTATTTATCAGTTTTAGGTAGTTTTAGGAACGTATCAAAGAATGTCGAGTCAGTTCGTTCAAGCATACGTAAAGTCTTTCTTGTTCTTGAACGCTGATTTCGCCAAGCAGCCATATTTCCATTCCCAAGTGCTATTTTGTATCTTGCTGGTACGAAAGTAGGTTCATCCCATCTTGAAAAGAGTCCTTTATGTTATAGTTAGTGACTATGGATATGTCTGAGAACAAACTTTCCCCACTTCGCCCCCTGTGGTGTCTGACGCTAATGAATGATTCATTGCTGGCACAGGAATCCCAATATCGTTAATAAATCGCCCAGAAGTAAATGTCAGAAATGTGCTTAATAATTAAAAAAAATACTAAATATCTGGAGATTTTATATATAAATATACTAGCATAGATGATATGAGACTACATACGACAAATTCCACGTCTTACATAAAAAAGTGAAATGTCAAATATCAAGAGCTCTCAGAGAGCAACACCCGTTTCAAAATAAAAAGTTTATGTCGAACAAAGAGTGTTTGATGTAATTTGTTGAAATAATGGAATTATACTATCATAGGAACTTCATATTATGCACCCTTTCCCCTCGTCAATCCTCTTCCGGGCCACACCCATTTTCTGTGGGCCGAATTTACGCAAGCGCAGTGRATGTCATCAAAAAATCCAACATGGCGGACTAGGAAGCTTATAATTTCAGCCAAATTAAAGTTTAGACCGTCTTCTCTCCTGCTATGGGCTCCCGATTGAGGTAATTGTACTTTGCTGCCATAGAAGGTCTTGTGTGTACACAATATGGATGTATATTGTTATTTTTAGAGCCGATCCAGAGAGAATCTTTGAATGTTGTTTGGAGATAACCGCCCCAGATACGGACGGGAATAAAGGTAAAAAACAAACAGGAACAGACTTTGTTTTAATTCAGTTCTTTGTTTCTATTATAATCTGTATTATATAAAAGGTCCTTTGAACGAGTAATAGTGAGATTGTTTTGCCAAAAGTACAATTCTGAGGTGTTGCATGATCTCTGTGTCAGAATACGAAGTTATCTGTGTCATTTCAAAGGCTCAAAAACCA